GGCTGTAGTCGGAGTATCGGCTAGGCTGTGTGGCTAATGGACACTGACAGTAAGCTGACAATTTGACTGCCTCAGAATTCTGTTACTTCCTTTTCAAAAATCGTAACATTCATTTTTAATGTTGCTATCATTTATCGTATAAAGTATTTTTTTATTTATAGTCTTGAAATAAGTTATTACTCACACTTTTATCCAACAGGTATTGCGAGGATCTAATGGTGCTTTGTTCTTCTGTAAAGCAATTTAGATCTTTGAAGCTCGGGGCTGAGCTAGCTTCGGTTAAACCCTTTTTGTGAGGCTTTACACGACGTATTATATGCCGCGTATTCATTTCATAGAATACTTCAAATATATTTCTTTTATTTATTCACTATATACACAACAATTATAAGTTATATTGAAAAGAGTTATTTTATTTTTACATGAAAAAAATCTTCATGAAAATAAGAGTCATTTTGTGTGTACGAAGATCATATTAAAATATAAGAACTTACGTAATGGACATATTAAACTAGCTTTCCGCCCGCAGCTTCGCCCGCGTGGAGTTCGGTTATATCGCGTTTCCAAGAGAACCTTTCAAAAGTCTGGGATAAAAACTATCCTACGTTCTTTCTCAAGTTCAACTCTATATCTGTACCAAATTTCATTAAATTCAGTTAAGTGGTTTAGGCGTGAAAGCGTAACAGACAGACAGAGTTACTTCCGCATTTATAATATTATTAGGGATTCTGACACACAAAGACAGGCTGTTAACTAGTATAAAACATAATATAAGTTAGCACTGACAGTTAAGAAATACTTAAATTTTAACTTTGTATGAATGCATAAAAAAATAGTGAAATTATGTTAATATGTATTTTTAAGTGGAACGAATAAAGTGCAAAAAAAAAATCCTCGCGTGCGAAACGTTGGCATGTCTTCATTGTTATTAAATTACGACAAAAATACCACAAAATGAAATTGTATTTAACCTATTATTAGACATTTCATAATAGGAGAGTTATATATTGTATGACATACTTTTAAGTTTCATAAAATATATTTTTTGTTTCTTGGAACTAAAAAAAAAGGTTTAAAGCGATGGCCTTGCGCTAATTTCAAATGGAAAATGTTTATATTGTTTGCTTTTTATATCAGTCTTGTTGTCCTACTTATAACATTTGTCAGATTATTTCACCTTTTTTAATATAATTCTGTGGTAATTTGCATGTTTTATTGCGTTATGGTGTTTAAATTGCAATTGTAAAGAATTTAAACAGTTTCTCTAACTTTTTCAAAAATATGACATTGTTAGTTGATACAAGTTTGCTTTCTTATTTAGAATTTCCAATGGAGTTGTGTATCTAAAGTTTTTTTATCTAAGTCTGGATAAAGAAATCAAAATATTTGAAGATATTTTCTTATATACAATCCTCTTATAAATATTTAAAGCAACATCATTATTTAGGCTCCAAATCTTTTCCCATCATTGACATGTTTCTATGTGGGGCCTATTCTAAGGCGATGTAAAATTCGGAACTTATTTCAGTAAGGAATCATATTGTTAAATAAAGGTCAATAATAAAGACGCTCCAATAATCTCAAACTCTGAGATCTAAGACTTTAGCGAGTAATCGTTTAAATGAAACAAATTTTTTTCGGATATACTAAACCTGCTATATTTATGTAAAAAACTAAATATATTTGTGAGTATCCACATTTTGGCTACCGTGAACACAGTTGCTGAAAAGTAACCGAAACGTCAGGAGTATGTAGTTTTTTAAAAGAAATAAAACATGCGTAGGATATCGGAAAACCACTAGTTTCATTTAAATATCAAAATCTATTGAAATCTATGTACATACATGGATGTAATTTCCTTTTAACATGTTACGTAATTCAAATGGAACTATTTTCGTCTTAATGACTCACGAGTGCAGAGTGTCAAGCATCTACAAGACCTGGTAACATGAAACGCTTAGAAATGTTCAGCGAAAATAGCTAAATATTCCCTGTATTAGAACTCAAAAACACATTAAAAAAATCTTAAAAATCGATAAAATAAGGTAAAGTAATTCATAATATTAAAATTATGAGCAAGCTGATTGCAATTAATTGATCATTTCAATATTATTGGATGTTTTTGGTTAAAATCTGATCGTTCTATATGAAATATTCTCAAGTCCAATTTAATAAGTAGGTTTTCGTTCAGCTGAAACTGATAGAGATATTATGAATAATGTATGTTTTATATTAGAAGTGATTTTTGTATATAAATCTATGTTTAAAATAAATTTGTTCTACTATTTCACAATAGTATCATGATAGGCAGTATGATCTCATATTATCAGATATTGTTTTAAATTAAATGTAGTATTTGTAAGTACATATATACGATATACAGTTATCAGTCAATTTCAGAGGTGGTAGTGTTTGGTAAGGTCAATTATATTCTCAAGAGTTTTATAAACTAAATAGGTATAAACCTTTAAAGAAAAACCAATAGATTATTGGTTTATTTACATCTTCATTTATTTCACTCGAGAACACATTTATTCGAATATATTTAAAAAAACAAATCTTTAACACAATTTGCAAAACCACAGCCTAATTTCAACAAAAAAGAGAAATTCTTAACGTTTATAACAGACAGTCTCTGTCGCTAAAGAGCTATATTATCCAGATGACCTTAACTGTATGTCTGAAGAAGTAGGATATAATAAAAAAGGCAATAAAATAGAAGCTGATGCTTATAATTTTATATGTCATAGTGAAAGATTTATAAACGAATCATTCTTTTATTGGTTTCTTGATTCAGGTTTATTATGTTTGCTATTATTATTTAAGGAATACTCAAGTTATCTAGAAGGTTACAGTAAATAATATCATGTTAAAAATATTATCATAAAATAACTAATAGTATACTTTGTGCATATACCATTACAGTGGTTCCAGTTAACCAAAAATGTAAATCAGTTATTTACGTATAATTCGATATTTATTATTATTATTGATAAAATTTTACAAAAAAGCTTTTACCACAAACATGATAACATTTAGATAATACTTATTTAATTAATAAAATCACGAATTGAAGAATGTTTTGTGTTATAATTTTATTAAAATCTACAGAAATTTTAAAAAATGTCAACTCACAAATTCGAAAAAAAGATTTTTAAAAGCTTAAACTGATAAAACTCATTAATCAAACTGATTTTTTGGTAAAAAAATTCCTCTCTGATATGTTTGTAACACAGTTTTTTTCACTTCTCTGTATGTAATTTTTTAATCGTTAATTGGATACACACTCATCCTTTTGCGCAAAGATCGTAAATTCATGTTTACCCAACAGTTCTGCGAACTTAATTGTCAAACACAGTTTGGTGAAAAAAGCTGTGTATTGAACGTTGTTAAATAATACAACTGTATAACTATAAATCTTTTGTATTTCCATTTTATACCCATATTCAATATTTTTATGCAGCCCGAGATTGGTATCAAGGGAGCGAATTGAAATCGACACAGTATTGTTAGGAATAAGAATAGTTATGTCTTTTTATTTACAACAATGTTGTAATTTTTATTAATACTAGACATAGACTTTTTCTATTGAAGTTTATAATAAAAATAAGTATTGCTTTTATTTTGTAAATTATTCGAATCAATAAGTTTGATGTAGTTCTCATGAATAAATAGAATTTTGTTCTACACAACTCTCAATGAATCAAAATACTTTTTAATTAATCTGGATTAAGAAAATACATAGATACTTAAACCTCCATGTTTCATAACATTATTTCATTCTTTATATACCAAATTCTAGTGTACGTGTGTATGCCACTGAATTCCTCCTAAACTTTTAGACCGATTTGAAAGAATTTTTTGTATGCTTATGGGTGGCGCCTCAAAATGTTCAGATTCACAAATCAGTTTAATAGATGGTATCTATACTCGGTCAACATATTGTTTTCAAATACTTTTACTTTTCAAGTGGACGAAGTCGCGGGAAAAAACTATTATATGTATATAATGAACACATGATTTTGGATTTTGGATTTTGGATTGAACACATTTTGGATTTTTGTATATTATAAGTTTTTGTTATAAGTAATTTTGGACAGAATGTATTCTCTATATTATTCAACCAAAATATGATATTTATAACAATATTTTTAATAAATTTACGTCTCAATGACGCTTTGAACACTGGCTTCTGAAAGTTTGTCGAAACTAGATCGCTGGAATATTGTGTAAGTTGCGAAAGTGGGACAAAACTATAGCCTTTTATGGAACTTTAATTGATAGATTAATTAGTCTTAAAAATAAAAATAAAACATGTTTATGTCCTCTAAGAATATTTCTTTTTTATTATTACTATATATATGTTTCGTTATAAATAATGTACATTTTTATCTTTTTCCAGGTAATACGGAGGCATCATAACAAGTGAATCAGGGCCAAGTAATGATGACGGTGTTAATCTGAAGCATAACCTGACTTTTTTTGGGTTAAATAAAATGTGAGAAGATGATATTTGAAAAAGTGAAAATGTTTTCTAAGACGGATAGATTTTGGGACCGCAGAAAGTATAAAGTTGCACGATGACATCAATATATCCATTATACGGCTGTATAAAATAATAAAAAAAAGTCACATTTGAATTATACCCAACGCTTTTTTGTGTGTCGCCTAGAAAGTGTGTGATTTTTATTAATTTGCTCGAATATTTTCGTTAATTTTATGTGTTAAATATTCAAAAGCAATAATAGTTAAGTATATTATAAATTATAAGTATTTCCTTGTAAATTAATAGCTAAATACCGTTCTAAACGATTGATAAAGCGAGTAATAATGTAAAAAATTCTATAACTCTAAATAAATTCCGTTCCTATAGTTAATACTTTTATAAACCGAGTAAACGGGGCCAAAAATCTACACACCAAAACAATAACTGTATAGATAGATAAAATTTATTAGCAAAAACTTTCGTCTGGTGACGATAAAACATAAAAAAATACATCATGGTGCCAAACGGGACAGCCTTGTTAGCTAAAACCACAGTGGCCACAGTTAATAGCACATTAAATTCAACTTTCCTAGTCCCTACATACATGAGCCAAGAGGAGTTTTTAGCATTGCAAATGACTAACGGCTCAGATAGCAATAGCACTTTCAATGATACGTTTTTTAACCAAGTGGTTTTAAAGACGTGGTATCCCAGTGGTTATTCGCCAGCCCATATCATAATAGCTTCAGTGGTGGTGACTGTGTTAATGATAATGGTGGTAGTTGGAAACATGTTGGTGATTATAGCAATCGCGACTGAGAAGGCATTGAAGAATATACAGAACTGGTTTATAGCTTCACTCGCTGTATCGGACTTTTTTCTCGGTTTGGTGATAATGCCGTTCTCTCTCGCTAACGAGCTGATGGGATATTGGATTTTCGGTTTCTGGTGGTGTGAAATACATTCAGCTTTAGACGTGTTATTGTGCACAGCGTCGATAATGAATTTGTGCCTCATATCCTTGGATCGATACTGGAGCATAACACAGGTAAGAGATAGCATAACAAATTATAAAAAAATATATTTTTTCTTTTTGAACATACATTTCGAATTTCAGAATAGTAGCTACATAAAGTGTATTAATCAACGTCTATATTTTAAAAAAATCATCATAAAAATATGATTTTTAAATTTCTTATCGAATTCAATTCTGTGCAATATTTAATTCAATTCAAAAACCGTCAAGAGCTACAGCTCTAACATTGAATAATAGACTAGTTTCCGATACTCGATATCCAACAAGTTTGTATAGAATTAATATAAATCGTTCTGATATAAAACTAGTTGTAACTGTAACTCTATTTCTTTTTAAAATATCTGAAAGGCTTTTCATTTTATTTGAACAGTTGTTGAATTTCTGGACAGTGGACGTGAGATGTAACAACGTACTATTGACCATACAGTATTTTACATTACTTTTTCTATATCAGTAGTGACTTTTGCGTTCTTTTTAACTATAATCCTAACATTCTGGTAATGAAAATTTTTTCCGTCTCTAAGAAAATCACGTACTGATACTCACGTTATTGCAACAATTTTTCCCCTTACCACCCGTGGTTTTACTATCATGTTGACAAACTATTACACGAAGAAAACAGACCACACGTCTTATAAAAATCTTGACTCGACATTTGGGGCTCAATTGATAGAAATAAGTGTTACAATTTTTGTTATGAATAACTAAATGTAAGTGCACTCAAGAATTAAAAGGCCCGAGTCATCAGGATAATTAATTTTTAGCCTTTGACCTTTAATTCGGCTAATTGTAAAGGTTTTATAGGACATTCTGGTCATTCAACATTAAGTAAAGTACCATTACAAGATATAATCGGAACAAATTATAATCTTTTATTGCAGACCTGAAAGATAAAATCACGTATGATTTTTAAACATTAATAATAATCGTCTTCCTTAATTTCAATGAGAATTTTTTAAAATTTATTAAATAAATGTCATATATGTAGTAATATATTATATCCCACGCTGTTATTTTTGTTGGGACAGTTCACACAATTGATATAATACCACTAAAGTGCTCTTGACACATTTATGAAAGCTATTTAATTTTGTTGATAGTTTTATATTTCGCGTTAAAATATTTAATTGATTGTGCCATGAATGTACGTGTTTTTGGGTTGTATCGGCGTAATGGACAAGTGGAGAGGCAAGCCGCAATGAGGGAACTGCAAAATCTGTTGCAGCTACGTATTTTGCAAGCTAAACAGCTTGCTTACATACTTTATGCATTTTTTCTCGAAGAAACTTATTAAATTGGTTTATTATTATATTATTTCTGTAGGAATAAAATATATGAATAATATGTAGGAATCTTCAAAACAAATTTCAACTTTTAAATATAGAAAATATGGTTGGAAAAATTTACTATTTAATATAAAATACACGTAGAAATCACGTTTAAAGTTGTATTAAAAGTCTAAATCTAAACTGTCTAAACCTTTCGTACACAAAAGCAGTTCTACAATATATTACGTGCCACATTTTTTTTATTTATACTCTCGGTACAGAAAATGAAAGTTTCCTTTGTGTCTACATTTAGATGTTTTATTACGTACAGAAATAAATATGGATTAGATGTAATACAGAATGAGAATATTTGTACCGATGTTGTTTATTATTTAATGCAATGATATAAATGTTTATTAAAAATTATTAAGACTTGTTAGGAGGTATGATAATTAAAGTGTTTTAATAAGATTTTTTTTTATGGGTTGAAATTAATTACTTACTATGAATATAAGCTTATATAAATTACTTTAAAATTCAAATATTTAGTAGGGATATCTTAAATACATATGTCTTCGACCTATACTAGAGACATTTTAGAAATATAATGATGTTTTTGTATATTTGCTCTCGTTTATTCCAAATCTTTTTACTAGTGACTAGATTTGAATCGTTTTTTAGGATATAGTTTGTGTTCACAAAAATGTAACTGTATTGGAATGAGTGATTTAGGATAGACGTGACTGAAAATTAAGTAGACTTCCTAAGACGCGTCTTGAGCAAAATGACTTGTTTATCACTGCTGGGTTTTTGACATTGTGAAAGAATAAATCATTAAATAGGTACAATGCTTGTGTATGCCTATTGTATAATACTTAATTTGGAGGAACTTATTTGTGCCTACTCTTGGCAAGGAAGACAAGGCAATAGTGATGCTACGATTTGACTCTATATGATATATCAAATTTGTGTAAATACCATTTTTAAGTAATTAAGAAATTAAAGTAATAGTGTTTATTAGTCTAACATATATTTAGTACTATCTTCTATTAAAGGCGGGTATTGTTACTATAGCTAGCACGTGTGTAACGTGTAAATGGTTGCATGTATTTCGTTATTTGCATCCAAATTGTACGCATTTGTGTTATTAATTACCTAAAGATATATCAGGCCATATAAAGTCGCGTGAGCAATTTTCATTATTCATATAGTTATACAATAGCAATTTGTCAAGCCATTCCTCATTTGGCTCTGATTAATTTATCACTTGCGTGTTTATTTAGTAAGTAATTGTTTTTTAAAAAATACTTTGCACTTTTATAAATAATTGGTACTTTTTTTGTATGATTCACCCTATGTTTTATAGCATGCACATTTAATGAGCAAATAATTATATATATTGAAATGTTGATAAACACTAGAAATATATGGTTCAGTCATGAAACGATCTTCAGTACAGATAGCTTTACATTACAGACAGACATTTACGTTACATTTACAATACAGAAATCCCCACTAGTTTCCAAAGTAAAGAAACATCTAAATTCTAAACGATCATGTGGAAAAATATATTACTTAACTTATAACTTCCAGTCAAATAAACTACGGATCATAATTAAAAGTTATTCTAGTTTTTATTTCGCTAAAAGTATATCATATACAAAATCTGTATGGAAACAAGACTGCTAATTTGGGTCACATATAATGAAACATTTGTTATTTCAGCAATTTCTCAGTAAACTGCCGACTGCCTAGTTAATATGAATATTACTTATACGATACAGATATTACAGAGGAATTTATATACATTTCCATTTCTCCTTGTTTTTTGTCTTAATATATTAATAGGTATATAATTTTAAAGCGTTGAAATTCAATAAAATGTATGAAATATTTTGCTTATAATATTAGAACTGTTACATTTTTAGGCGAAAATGATTTATTGTAACTAACTTAAGAATAAGTTATTTAGGTAGAAAATATTTAATGAATATTAACAAATATTTAGATGAAATGGTAATAGACGTTGGCCAGTCATACATTTTGATGAAGGGAACGCCTAGATTGTGATGCTGAATACTACGTATGAAACACATAATATGTGTGTGATATTATATGGTTATAATAGAGCACTAATAAAAACATACATGGGATTAGACAGTAGTGGCCTAGCGGTTAAAAGGCCCGCCTCTCATGCATGAGGGCACGGGTTCGATCCTGGCAAGTACCAATATAATTTTTCCGAGTCATATGTACTTTCCAAAAGTATTTAGACATCACTGATTAATGCATTCTCAAAGAGGGTTGATGTCAGGCAGGCGGCCGGTCGTAAAAACAATTAGCCAAAACTATTCACACATCTAAGGCAGACCCTGGTTAAAGCTGGGAAATTGCCAGGTAGTAGAAGAAAAATATATATGGGATGAAACTTATTTTGTTTTATGCCACGTGATGTTTTCATATACGTGAATTTGTAGGTCTTAATTGGTCTTTTTAAAGGGAAAATGTTAGTGAAATTAAGCAGAGGCAAGATTAAATAGATCTTGTTTTATTAAGGATAAGTCTTTTTTATGGCTTATTAGTTTTATATCTAAGTCATTTGTTTTATTACCTTGTATTGGACCTTTTGTTAAAAGATTACATTTAATTTAAAAGAATTCATTTTGGGACATTCTTAAACTGAAAATAGAAGAAAGATAAAAGGTAATGAAATAAATACTATAGATATGACGTCAAGAAAATTACTTAATCAAGAACTACTAAGAAAGGCCATATTTAAAAAAAACATATGTATATATAAATTCGAGTATACATATTTTTATTTCAAAAACATTTTAACTGACGATAAATGAAGTTATATAAATTACTAGCTTTTCACACGCAGCTTCGCCCGCGTGGAGTTCGGTTATATCGCGTTTCCTAGAGAACCTTTGAAAAGTCTGGGATAAAAACTATCCAATGTTCTTAATCAAGATTCAAGGTCAATTCTATGTCTGTAACAAATTTCATTAAAATCAGTTCAGTGGTTTAGGCGTGAAAGCGTAACAGACAGACTGACAGACAGACAGAGTTACTTTCGCATTTATAATATAAGTAGGGAATAATATTAGTAGGGATAAAATATTTTTTTTTTCTTAAATAATCTCGTCCTTTTTGAAGAGAAATAAATGAAAAATAAGATGCATTGTTGTTACAGTTACAATTATTGTATACTTACTATTTATTTTATCTATTCATCTGTATTAAATTATTTGTATTAAATTTTATGTTACATGATAAATTAGATGCCATATATTAAAAAAGTCCCGTTTTATCCTCTCCGTAAAACCAACCACCAAATAAAAAAGGGGAAATGTAATATGTTTTGAGTTGACACATGAAGAGCCATCTGCGAGCCGATACGTGTTTCTGTTCTACACAATGGAGCAGTAAAAGTATATACATATTTGTGTATAAAACGTACTTTATTCTTATTTTCATGTATACTTATTTGTATCTTTATATATAGTTGTGTGTGTATGTCACTACACACCTCCTAAACTGGACCGATTTCAATGAATTGTTTTGTATTCAGGTGTCGCCCCAGATGGTTTAGATTGACAAATAAACTAGCTACATTCTGAATCTAGGTTATTTAAAATGAAAAAGCTGCAATGTGTATTCATATATGTATAGTTTTAACATACATACATACATACATTTCTCTCTGAGAACAACTGATGTTCACGCGAACGGAGTCGTTGGGAAAACCTAGTATATATGTACATAATATGTTATATACATTGAATTATTGACATAGCAGTTTTAGTTAAAATTAGTAGTCCTTACTCATCTTTAGGTCAAATGTACAGGTCACTTTAATCCAGAAATAAATTCAATTATGATATTACATAGAATTCTGAATAACTTTTTTAAGTAAAAAGAAACTTTCTCCTATTTATAGACCGGTATTGTTT